TGACTCACAGGATTTAGGGCATAGATAAAAGTGACAATTTTCACCCAATCTGGCCTCAAAAAAGCAGTCTATAGCCATGACCAAACACAAGTGCACAGCTGCAGACAGGTTAAAAAATGACCAATTGGGTGAAAGTTTGAACCCTCATTGCATGAGGGGTCAGATGGAGTTGTTTCAAAACAGAGCATCTTCTGTAATTTGTGCCTGCCTGCCTGCCTGCCAGCCTGTCACTGTTTTCAGAATTTGAGTGGGGTAAAGGGAGTCAAGGTAGTTTAGTCTGGGGGGGGGGATTCAGCCCCCATTGGAGGGTGGGGAGGATATATTGGAGACCCCCTACCCCACCCCCACAGTGTGGGCTGGGGAACCCCTAGAATGAGCTCCCTCTGCTCTCTTTCTCTCATCCCATTCTGAAAATTTTGCAGCCTTGCAGGGAGGAGGGGCCATTGCTAGGGGAAGCAGAATACAGGCTGCAGCCAGCAAATAGATTCCCCTCCCGCCTGGAACCACCTATGAACCTCTGTTTGTTTCAGGGGATCCTTGTAACTTAGAACACTAGCAATGCATTGTCAGTTACAGGGGGGAGCTGCATTTCTGTCTGCACCCCTACTCACAATTTATCTTGTTTGAGAACAGAATCAGGGAAGGATAATATCTAGGCCATCAGTGGGCATAGTTTGCATTCATGGGCAAATTTAAAATGAAAGTTGCCCATACTCTTGTCAGTATAGTGAAGAAAGCAGCAGCTTAATGAACTAAATCAAAGGAGAATATGGTTGAGAGAGTTCTATTTAATTATTATTTTTAAAAATTTAAGGGGTGTTTGGGGTAGTACATATTGCTGAAGAATGAATGTTCTCTCAGAAACCCCCCAAAGTCAATTTTAAATATATATATTTTTAAATAATCTCAAGTTAAATAAACTTTTCACTGACTCAACTATGTCCAGGTTTCAAAACATTTTAAGTTTCAAAGCAGCCCAGTGGTGGGACGCAGGGGAGAGTCAGGGCTGTCTCTGAGCAGCTCCACAGCCCCATGTAGCTCAGCCCATCAGGGAGCGCAGCCCAGGCTCTCCCGCCTACAGGCTGCACTCTGTGGGGCTGACGGAGCCAATTGGAGGGCAGCGCCGGCTCTCTCCGCCTACTGTCAGTGGGCTGCACTCTGATTGGCTCTGCCAGCCCCACAGAGCACAGCCCAGCGGCGAGAGGTGGGCAGAGCCGGCGCTTTGTGCTGATTGGCTACACCAGCCTCATGGAGCTCAGCCCAGCGGTGGCTGACAGAGCGCCAGCTCTGCCCTCCTCCCACCACCAGGCTGTGCTTTGATCAGCTCCGCCAGCCCCTCGGAGCACAGCACTGGCTCTATTAGCCTCCTGCTGCTGGGAGAGCCAGCATAGTACAAGCAGATGAGCATGGGCCTGCTCCACAGCAGCATAGCTATGTCCATACCATCTGTGCTCCTGGAGAAAGCAGGCAGGGGCCTGAAAGCTATAAGACCCCACAGTGCATCTAGTCTCTGAGGAATACAGGTTTACAAGTTTCTTGCACAAAGCTAGAAGCCTAGAATTCCTGGAACAGGCTCCAACGTCTGTGCCCTGGGGCAGCCTTTCCATACAGTCTATATGGGGCTTAGAGGCACCAGAGCTTTCAGACTCCTGGGTTGCTCAACCTAGTCAGTAGCAATTGATTTACAAGAAACAGTTTTCATTTTAGAAATAGGGTTAACACATTTTAAAGTGTTGTTTTCTTTTTCTTTTTTCCTTTTTTTTTTTTTTCATTTTCTTTCTTTCTTTTTTTTAAGAAAAGTTCAAATACATTAAATTCTGAATGTGGGTCAGTTCTACCTGTACATCGTGGAGTCCATAAACTTACCTACAGACTAGTTTATAAATAATCACTATGGTCATTTACAGTTTTCTCTAAAAAATATAGGTCACTGTCAGGGAAATTGTATTAAGCTAGGTAGACTTTTGCTTAGTGTCTGTAGGGTGATTTATATAATCTTGCACTTCTAGATAACAATAGTTGATTGTTCAGACAATTGCATTAGCCACACATTCACAGGCTGTTTATATATAGGATCTCTCTAGAATGTTTTTCTTTGTTATATTGAAGTGCACTTGTTTTTTGTTGGGATATATCAAGCATTGTTCACTTGCAGTTAGTAGTACTTAAGATCTTTGGAGCAGTATTGCAAGAGAGGCTCTATCTGAGGAACTCAAATGTATAAAATACTAACCTCTAAGATTTAAATCAAATGAGCTCCCTCTGCTCCCTTTCTCCCTGCCCATTCTGAAATGCAGCCACATCAGTCATTTTGTTTTATGTAAAACGATTGACACATGATAGGGTTCATGCTTCACAGTCTAATAGTCTGTTCAGGAAACCTGAAGAGTGAGTTTTCCTTGCAAGGAAAGACTGCTTAATCCTATTTGTTGTTGCTGTTTGTTCAATAATTTTTTCAGTTTTCCCATTTATTCATTTCATTTTGGTTTCAGTTCATTTAACCTTCAGAAAAATATTTGTGCTGTCTATTGCTGAGAAAGGGAAGGCTCCAGCAGCATATCATTGCATTTTTCTCTTACTGTTTGGCTATGATGTCTGTAATAATAAATGTATCCATTTGAAATAGAAGTGATTAAGTTCTTTCTGAAATGTCTTCTAGAACAAAGCATTAGCTTTTCTTTAAAAGGGCAGATATTGCTACAGATAGCATTTAACCTAGCCAAGGACAAAGTGTTATGCTTAAACAGCATTTACCTTTCTTCTCATATCTGTGAAGCAGCCAGGATATCTGCATTCAAGTGTTTTGGGTTCTAAACTTTCAAAAAAATAATTATCTGTAGAAACTTTGTACAGTTCAGTGGATGACTGGAAATACTGTGAGATCTTTCAAAACACCCTATTACACTATCAATTTACTGAGTTATGCCTTTGTATTTCAGAATCCCAAAAATTCAATGAAGGTACTGGTAAGGGGTATGACTGCACTAGGGCTTGCATGCTAGCCTTTCATCTCTGGAGGCATCGATCCAAATCTCTTTACATGCCACAAGTAAAAATAAATGTAATGCTCTCACATTAATCCCCATTTTGTTTGCTTCACAAATTATTATGAGGTCTGGTGTGACTGGTATTCTCTCTTTAAAAGAAGCCTAAATATATAGGAATTGAGGCCACTGTCGTTCAAGGCTGAAGTACATTGACAGAATAGAGTTTAACCTCATATTTGAAACAGATGGCAAAATGTCAGTGAACAGTGAGGTGTATTGGTAGATTTCAATGAAGGAGTTTCCCTGTTACCTACATTACAATAACTCAGCTCATTGGGACAAAGTCTTTTTTTTTTTCTGTTTATACAGCTCCTAGTACAGTGGTGCCCTGGTAATACTGCAATACTATGGCACCTCGTAATAGTGCAATACTCATAATAATACTACTACGAATGATGATTGTAGTGATGATTTTTGGATCAAAGTAAATGTTAATCATTATACTAATTCAACAGATCCCTGACAATAAGGTCTTCATGATTTAAGGTAAATAGGAAAGTTTAGTACAGTGTTTCTCAACCATTTTAGACTCAAGGCATTCCCTTGTTAGGCTTCTGGCACCCCTGGTTAGACTCGAGGCACCCCATGAAAAAATGCCACCTCTGTTTTCAATCATTTCTTGACTACAGAAAAAAATAATAGAGAAGTTTTTCTGTTGCAAAGAACTCAGAAAGCCCACAGTAGGACAGAATATTTTTAACACTATGGATTCTTGTTTGAAATCTTTAGCTGCCTATACACATGCTCAGAGTTGGGCAGGGGAAGTTTTAATTAGAACAGTTCCCTGACAAGTGCTCAGATTAAAAAAACTCACAGTCCTATGTATTAAATCCACCCCTCTCCCCCCCCACATCTCAAAATGGCTGCGGGGGTACTTTAACTAAACCTCAGCGAATGAGCTTTAGTTAAAGTGCCCCCACTGCCATTTTGAAATGTGGGTGGGCTTAATACATGTGATGGTGAGGAGACGCTGGAACATTCTAATTAGAACGTGAACAAGCACATCTAGAGAGCCTTTGGGTTTATCTTGTGAATCATTTTTTCCATGCTGAGCAGTGCTGTGGGACCCTGGTTGAAAATCACTGGTCTAGAGCAGCATTTCTCAACCCATGGGTCATGATACAAAAATGGGTCGCAAGAATATTTAAAAGAGTCACAAGTAAGTGCCAAACAAACACAGGCTTCCCCTTACAGGCTGGATGAAGGTAACTATAAGGGGAGCAGGGGTTGGAGGGTCAGGGCTTGGGGACTGTTGGAGTGGTGGGGGGGCAGTATGTGTATGTGTGTGTGGAGGGGATGGATGCAGGGGAGGAAGGTGCTTGTCAGAACTTAGGGAAGGTGGCTGGGCAGCTGGGTACTGAGCCTGCAGCAGGGCAGGAGGAGTGGGGGACTGTGGGCCAGGCACCAGCAAGGCCAGGGGGTGTGGGTCAGGCCATTAATCTTTGCAAATGTGTCCCAGGATGAAAAAGGTTGAGAACCAGTGGTCTAGAGTAACCTTTTGAGTTATTTAAAATATAAATTTAGGTCCTTTATAAAGTTTTATATTCTTGAAAATCTAAACAAACTAATTGATGAGCAAATTAATCTGATTTAACTAATAAGAGAATTCAATCAAAGCCTTAATTCCACTCCTTCAAAAAGACTGCGTGTTTTTTAAGATAAATTTATTCATAAAATTGATTATGTATGTCAGAGGTATATGCCATATTTATTTACTTATCAATGGAAAGTAATTTCTCTCAGTTGTGTGCAAAAATGCAACCACAAATATATAACCCATCATAACCCCTAATGATAACAGCAATGCTTCTTTAAAGTCTAAAATGCAATAACTATTATCTTCTATTATTAGTATTCCAGGACATGGAAATAATACAAGTGAAATAACATATAATATATAAAACAGTAGTAGGATAAATGGTGCTAAAGGTTTTTTTTTCTTTTTTTATTCAGATTTGTGATAAAGAGTGGCATTACTACGTCGTCAATGTTGAATTTCCTGTGGTTACCTTATATATGGATGGTGCAACATATGAACCTTACCTTGTGACAAATGATTGGCCCATTCATCCATCACACATAGCTATGCAGCTAACTGTTGGTGCTTGTTGGCAAGGTAACACTACATAAAGTGCATAAAGTAGATATGAAGTTTTTAAATCTGATCCAAAGAGGGTTTTTCTTGTCTGCCTCTAATACGAAGTACACCAAATTTACTGTTATTAATGAGTGGAATGGTTAATGAAACCAATTTTCCTTTCAGTTTCATGGGAGGATCTTCACAGAAGATAGTGCAATTTCTCAGACTAAAATTGGTCAGAGCCTGTATTTTCATTATCTAATAACACAGTTTGTGTTGTCTATAAGAATAAGATCTGATGCATATTAGATTTTGATATGTCAGATAAATTTTATGATAATGAGATAATTATCATGGAGCCAATCTTTGCACTCCTGACCCTGGAAAGAAAGAACTATTTCATAACCAAGTTTATACATACAGGATTAAGCTTAATAATTTAAGTATTACAAAAATATTCTATTTTATTTATTCTATAAATGAAAAAAAATCAACCTTTTAGAATTAGAAGTTTAATTTACCTTGTGGTTTGGTAGGACAGTTGGTTTAATTTAACCAAGGTTTCTTTTAATTTGATAGTCTCTGTTTCTTATGCAGACTTTGCACAATATCTATGAAGCAACAATGCAAGCATCAAAACATTCATTTACTGCCACTGTGGGAAAACAAGCTCAACTGCATTCCATATTTTACCTGGATCTGTGGAATCTAATAAGAACCAATATGTTTAAGGATTTGAAGAATTATCCATACTGAATAAGTGTATATGAATATGTATTTCCATATTCTCCAAATTTCCTTGCTAAGGAAACTTAATTTTTATCCCACCATTCATAACTAGTCCTGGGTTCTATTAAGATTTAGGTACTTTTAATTTGGGTCCTGTTAATTACTTCTATCTTTTTTATTTACTTATTTTCATCACTTTCTAATACTAACATGTTTTCCCTGAAATTTCATCTTTTGAAACTGAGGAAAATCCTCTCCACCAACTTAGTGTTTACTAAAAAGGCCAAATTTTGATGCCTGTGAGGAATACAATTCTACTTTTATCCAGAGAGCAGATGCTGCGTAAGCAACAGCTGTGCACATCTTCCTACACAACTATTTCCATGTGCCTTACTCTAGTTTTAATACAGTCACCTAAAGCAAAGAGGATAGGTTTCTCAGCTTTTCATCATGGCCTCTTTTCTGAAATTTCAAGCAAGGATAAGAATTAAAGCCAATTGTGATGCTGAGTTTATGATATAAACCCACAAACAGCTGTATTCAAAAGTATTACTTTAGGCCATCAAAAGACAGCAACTGGTAACAGTTTTCAGTTCTTTCTGGCTTAGTCTGGTTCATGGGCAACTGGTGCCTCCTGAATCGGGGGGCACTTGCCCCTCCAGCGGCCAGTCAGCGACCAGGGCGGTGGTCCCCCCGCGGCCAATTACACCGATCCAGAAGTGCTAGGCGTGTGCCCAGAAATGCGAGTGGAGCTTCTCTTGGTGTCCCCACTCTGCAGCTGATGCTCTCAGGGGGAACAGTGCTCCCGCCTGCCTCTGCTGCCCATTACCTAAGCAGGGAACACTGGCTGTTAGGGGGTGCACCAGCACTCTCAGGGGTGTACTTGCACCCCCAGGTACCCCTTCCATAATAACCCTGGTCTGGTTATTTTCCAGTGGCCTGTAGGATTTGATGCTTCAGTAGACAAGTTAGTTAATTCCCTACTCCCAAAACAGTCATACTTGTGTCCAATTAAACATATGATACTAAATAATCAAAGGTCACTCTATATTAATGCTTATGGTAATGCCACAGTAATATAAGGCCTTTAATGAGACATGGCTTAGAGCAGTTCTTAAAATGGTTAAAAAATGTCAAGGGGAGAATTATATATTACCCTGAATCAGGACAAAAATAAAGCCCTTTGAAATTTCACATGAAGCAAAATTTTAAAATGTTTTATTTCTAATCAATAGAAATATTCTGTTAAATTCAAAATGTTCATTTGCACTTTGACAATTTTGTTCAAAGTAAGTTGAATTTGAAATGAAATATTGAAACTTTTCTTTTAGGGGGGGAAAAAAGCAGAACATTTAATTAAAAAAAAAATGTCCAACTGAAAATTTGTTACCAAAAGAGGTACAATTCATGAAAGAAATGGTGTCACCACATTTATATTCAGCATTTCATGGATATAAATTGTTTGAAAGAAAACTTTCACAGGCTTACTGGGAAAAAAATAATCTCTACCAATAAAAATACTTAATCTTTACATATTCAAAGTGATTGAGAAACATATCCTCATAGTTATATGTAGTGTATGTAAGCAGATTTGGGAAATGACAGAGTTGATTTGCTGAAACCCACAGATGGGACTCTTGTGTCAGTGCAAGGAACAGGAAACACACATTTCTGATTCTGGTCTCTTGGATGAATAAACATGCTTCTGTTTCATTTACTATGAAATTTACTTTATTCAAGGATCAAAACAGAGTCCTCTCTCCTTCTTTTTATCAGAATCTCTACTATTATCAGAACTCCATGTTAATCTCTTGCCTCAGAAAAACAAATCATTTTCTCACTCGCTGTTTTTAACTGTGGTCTTCTGGTAACTCTGTGCATGGATGGCATCTACCAAAGTCAAACTGTTTTAAAAGCTATCCAGACCCAGAAACCAGAAAAAATAAGAGACTCTAGTCATTAGGTGACAATATAACATGTACACGCGTGTGCGTGCATGTGTGTATGTGTGGGGGGGGAGTAGAAGTATACAATGAAATCAAGGACTAAAGTTCTTAATGTACTTGTTAGCAAATACTAACTAGAACATCTGTTTCTGATATAAAAAATCTAACATTTTAAATAGAACAAAGTTCATTTCTTGCCTGGAAAATACAATCTATTTTCAGAGCTGTCCATAGGCATGTGTGGGGCTCAGGGCACAGCCCGCGCAGGGCCAGGGGTGTGGCAAGCAGCCTCGAGCCCAGAGCTGGCAATGCATGGCGGCCATAGTGGGGCCTATGTGGCACTGTCTGCAGGGCCCAGGGAGATCACCCTGATTCGCCTCCTCCCCACCAACTAGGGATGGCCCTACCTATTCTGCTCTCTCATATTCCCTCTATAGGATTATGAGCCTGTTTCAGGTTAAGAGGGAGGGGAGTCTCTTTCAGAATGGCCTTTTGCATCATCTACTTTGGCATTCTGACTGGTTACGTAAAATAGTATCACACATGTGCCTCCTACCCTGATCTAGAGGCACATCATGTAGGGGACTCAGAAAGAAACAAAAATTACTCTTTATCATAAATATTTCCTGTTAATAACATTTCAGTTCCATAGTAATTCTTTCCTCCCTTTTTATAGCCTTGTTTATCATGTCCATTCTGAAGAGTTAGGGGAGTTATCTGTCTTTTTAGTCGCTCACAAAATCTTATTTCTCCCTTCAGCTGTTCCAGTGAAATACAGAAAGTGCCAGGTTCCATTCTGGTCTTCTCTTGAGTCCAGAATCAACTATAGATCTTAATAATGAATGCTCTCTCACACCCCTTGTGTGATAATTTTTAGCTTTAGTCTTTGACATACGCAGGGTCCTATCTGTGTCAGCTAACTTGCTTTAGATTAAATTTCTGGAATTTTTCTTCCCATAGACCTGCATGAGGTTAGAAACCATGGATTGCCTATATAAATCTGTCACATTTTTTTTCCTGTCATGAATATCCCAGGCCCAGAGAGCCTAATTCTGATCCTCATTTTACAGAAGATTTGCAGAAATAAATGATTTCACCAAAACTGTTGTGGGCAATGAGAATTGCCCCCAAAACATCCATAGAACTTAAGCATATGCTACTATATCCTCTGCTTTTATCAGAAAGGCTTTTTCATTTTGCATTTCAAGATTGTAAGTAATTGTAGAGATTTAAGACCCTACATCTAATGTAGATCTCACTGACATTTATTTTCTGTATTTCCCTTCCATATTACTTCTTCAGGAACCAATTCTTGCAGTGTACATCAGCCATGGTTTCCTTTGTATTTAGCTTCTGAGCACATTGTCAGTGAGGTACTTTTTATGTCAGACTATTCATGTCTAGTTTGCAATGTACACTTTTTAGCAGGATTCAATCATAGAAGATTGATATATTCAGCTTTAAAAAAGGCAAAATCTTGATGCAGCCATTTGGAGATTCTGACAAATTTAGCTCCGTTTTTAATAGGATGTGATCTGGTTTCTACAGAACTACATGGAACTTTTAATCCTTTTTGGGGTTTGGAGCAAGAATTTATGAAAATGAGTTAGTTTCATATTTCTGTTGGTGATTCTGAAAATGGTAGACAGAATTGACAAATATCTTATTTGCCATATCTTAATGAAAGCTTGAAAAACAAGGAAAAAATAAACAACCAGCCAAACAAATACTCATGCCTTTTATTCTTTCTACCCCTTAGGCTTAGGGCCCTACAAAATTCACGGCAGAAGCTGGGTGTACTACAGCTCCTTGAATCTTTCAGGTACTCCTGTTTGCCACCCACCCCTTTCCTTCCCTCTGCAACTGGTGGAGGGAAGGAAGGGGGGCGTGGCAAACAGGAGATTGGTGGAGGGGCCATGCTTGCATCTTGCTCTTGATTGGCAGGAAAGTGGAAAACACAGTATTAAATATGGTGCTGTCTTTGTCTCCCCACCAGTCAGCAGCAAGCAGTGGGGCTGCTGGGCCCCTTAGCCAATCAGTGGCAGGAGGCAAAAAAAAACCCATACTTAAACTTGTGGTTTTTGTCTCCCCACCTATCAGGAGTGTGGCTCAAGTGGGGTCCCTCCGTCAATCACCAGCAGTGGGGGGGAGGGGCGGGACCAACCTGGGGGATTTGAAAGATTAAAAGAGCCACAGCACACCTGACTTCCTCTGTGAATTCAGTAGGGCCCTACTTATGCTGCTCTGCAATGCATAAGAACATTCTCGTTACTTTTTTTCTCCTTCTCCAAAAATATAATTAAAATGCTTTACACACAACTAACTTCCTAAAAGTTATTATTGTTTTTTAACTTCTTGACA